TCCTTGATTTGAGACTGGATTCACACGAATGTTCCTCCAATTCACTCAAACCAAGGCTCTGATACCAACTTGTCACACCCATAAAATTCGAGCCAATTTAAAATTTTTTAAATCATTTGAAACCATTCAGTTATTACAATTTGTTTTCAAAATAGTTTATACATCAGAGTTCCCAGAATCATAATCATCAATCGAGGAAGTGTACGGTCACGCCTTCGCCTCCCCGCGGCTATCCGCTGAACCTGAAACAATAAACTGAAACTGTAAGCCCGAAAGCTTAGTGAGTTGCCCCCAAAATACCAACCTCATATAACCATAATCATATCATATCAACGAATACAGAACAACCATGCATCTCGAGTATACAATGTGACTGGTCCGCCCACACCGGGCCTTCAGTCCACTCGGTCCACTTTCTGAGTCTACAGTATGACTGGACCGCCCGCACCGGGCCTACAGTCTATCTGGATCTATCTCGAGCCTTCGGTATGACTGGACCGCCATACGGGCCTACGGTCTATCCGGACCGTTCGTAGGGTATGTTGGCCTTCAGCACGAAGCAGGACCGCCTCAACCCAACATCAAGCAAATAACCATGTGCACATATAACAAGTAATCACATAACAGTCCATAGACAGACAAACCGATCTAGCAGATCATATAGTATAGCAACATCCTAACCAGGATACCGACCTAACCGGTCACTAACATAGCATCATCCTATATACCAGGATACCGACCCTAACTAGGTCACTGAACATAATATCGTCCTAATTACCAGGACGCCGATCTAACAGATCGATAAACATATCAATAATCCTATAACCAGGATATCGACCTAACCGGTCACTAACATAGCATATCACCATCCTAACTACCAGGATGTAAATCAGTAAGCATATCATGCAATAATCCAAATACAAACCATAAAGGGCCGGCATTGGTGCCTTGGACCCTGTTGATATAGTGAGGATAACTCACCTTGCAACTGCCGAACCGAAACACGAAAACATTGGCCCGAAGCACTGCTCCAAACTCCAACACCTGATGCCATCAATGAACCATGACATAAATATCCAAAATACCATAACACCCCTGAAGGTCAAACAGGTCAAAGTCAAAGTCCTAGCCAAAGTCAACCCTCCTGATTGACTCTACTCGCCGAGTCAACCTGTCGACTCGCCGAGTTCCAAACTTCAGAAAACTCTTATATCACAACTCGACTCGCCGAGTCACTCCATGACTCGTTGAGTTTAACGATCTCTGAGTCCTATCATGTCCAACTCACTGAGTCACCACTCAACTCACTGATCTGAGTCTTAACCAGAAGAGGTTGGGGTTTTGCGTTCTGACTCGTCGAGTCCAAGAACAGACTCGCCGAGTCCACGACAATCTTCAACAGACTCGCCGAGTTGTTCCTCCAACTCGTCGAGTTCATCCTATCTTCAACAGACTCGCCGAGTCCAAGAACAGACTCGCCGAGTCTCTCCAGTCCTTTATACATGTAGAGGCTTTTCGAGTCTTGCAGGGGCTCCAAACTGTAGATCCACTCTTCTAGGGCATGACTCTCACGTAAAGTTGCAAACTTTACGTGGAAACAAGGAGTTATAAGCCCAAATCACTCTATGGCTAAGGTTTAAGACAATGATGCTTCACCAACAAGCCAAGGGCTGATGAGGTTCTGGACCAAGACAAGTCTAGATCTGAAGTAACAACCTCAGATCTAGACCCCTAACCCGAATTAGATCCTTAACATTCCAAAATGGCCCCAAATATCATTCTAAAATAGATATAAATGCAATAGAGTCAAGGTAACAGCTTGTTACCTCTAAAATATGCCCAAGCTGAAGTAGATTTTGGATCTACACAAATCCGTTGATGCTCTACACTTTGATTTACAAGCCTTCTTTGCTAGAATCTCCTTCCAAAGCTTCCAAGTTCACTCCATAGGCTCACACACGATTCTAGGGTTTTCTGACTCTCAAGGGGTGACAAAGAGGCTGAGGTGAGGACTTAAGGTCCTTTAAATAGGGTGCAAGCCCTGAGATTAGGGTTTTCTCTTCCCAGCACCAACTCGTCGAGTCCAACTTCCGACTCGGCGAGTTGGTCACTTAATTCGCGACCAAATCCCGATCCGACTCGACGAGTACTCGCACCTACTCGTCGAGTAGCTTCCTCAATGTACACTTTAAGCCCTTATATCATATTTCTGAAATTTGGGATGTTACACTAACGCGTCCAGTTCGGTGCGATGTCACGTGTCAGGCCAACATTCGTCTGTGTCACTCCTCCTAGAACATTGTCATGTGTCCTCTTATTGTAGCCCCACATGTCACACCCTCATGGTGCACATCATCTTGTTGGTTGGGAGATCCGACCCTCTTTTCGCCACGTGACGCGCACTCGGGCCGCCACATCATCCAACCGAGTATTTTTCATAGATCTTCGAACGACCATAACTTTCGCATACGAGCTCTGTTTTCGATGTTCTTTATATCCTCGGAATCCTTTCGACGAGCACTACAACTTTCCTTTAGGCCTCAACAATTAATTCTCACTATATTTTAAATTCTTATTTCATAGAGCTTACAATGTAAAAGTTTGTGCGAAAATTATAACTCTTTCATACGAACTTCGTTCTCGATTGTCTCTATATCGGCGGGTTCGTATTTACGAGATATTCAACTCTCGTTTACATTGTTTTGGATAACAATCAACCGATCTATATTTCGATTTCTGTGTCGCATCGAAACTTCGAAAAATCGTAACTTCCTCATACGAAGTCAGATTTGGACGTTCGTTATATGCATGCTTTCGCTTTTACGATTACTACAAATTTTGTTAAGGTTACTTAGGTTAATAAACAACTTATCTCCGATTGACTTTTTACGACACCTTTTGCCGTATAGGGCTGAACGCAAAACTTTGAACAATCATAACTTCTCAATACACAGTCGGATTTAAGCGTTCTTTATATCTACGAAAATCTTATTGACGTCTACTATATGATTATGATGATTATTTTTGGCTAAAAAAATAAATATATTTCTACTTCGAATTTTATAAACTAACGATTACTATTGAAGTTTATTGTAGAAGTGAAAATGGGATGTTACACTTTGGGTCCGGATTCGCCACGCCGATACTTAACTGCCAAGAACCATTCATGTAGGTGACGACTATAATGATTCCACCTTACCTGACGGTGGGATGGTGGTCGGGGTAGAAGAAAGACGACGACATCCAGAGCTAGAAGAAGAAAGACAACAACAACCATAACTAGAACTACAACAAAGATTTTCCCTCCTTTCCACCACCACTTGAGGCACTATATATGAACCCTTCCACGGATGAATGTTGCCTCTCCCAATAATAATCCATATCTAAATTAAGCCTTGGCATATGTTTGGTGCAACAAACTAAAGTTTAGTTGTCATAGGGTGAGAGGTTCCCTTCTGATGACGTTAGGGAAAAAAGAGAAAAAAGAGGGAAGCATGGTGGGGTGGGACAAGAGTTTTCGTGGGTATCGGTAGTAGATATAATAATATGAAGTCATAATTTATTTTTATTTATTTAGACAATAAAAAAAACTGAAATCAATTATAAAAAGGATAATATAGTATTTTTATTTGAACAGAAGGGCTGGAACCGTAATTTATTAAAACCATAAGGATGTGTTCAGCCAGGGACTAAAACTAAGAATCTGACCAAAACACTCGACCGTAATTTACCCTATATATTATTAAACATTCCAAATTTATTATCCTAATAATGTTTTTGAAAATCATGGGTGGGGATTTTTCTCCCTACATGCAATTGGAAAATTTGTTACCGTTAAATATATATAATATATAAATATTATTATCCGTTATATATAAAATATTGAATTTTCTTTAATCCTCGCAAATTGTTTATTGTTATCTATTAAATATATAAAGTATTACGTTTTTTTTTTTCCAATTTCTCCAGCTGTATAACAAACAAGGATTATCTGAACATAAAATAATAAATGCACGATTCGGTGTTTGTTGAGAATGTTTTATTTTCTGTATCTACGCATTATATTAAAATTATAAAAAAATTTCAAATTTGAAACCAATGATTAAAATAAGTTTATTTTAATATTTTATTTTAATTGCATTTAGTCTTTTGTTTTACCTAACAAGATACATGTTATGACACGTTAGGAAGATAATTGCTTAGTTGCTTTACAATAGATTTCTAATTGTTTTTGCTTAATAAACCTCAAATTAGATGTCGTAATGTTCTTGTGTACTTTTTCCTTTTAAGACAACAATGTATTGAATTTGATTGTTAAGTTGGGGTTGCTTTAATCTTTTCCTTTAATACAACAATGTTTAAGACCTCTTATCTTAAAATTTAAGTAATTTAAGTTGAAAAATTGTCAAAACTTAGTTTCTATTTAATAAAACTATTTCAACGTTTTAACCCTAAAAATCGGTTTTACTAAAAAAGTTAAAAAAATTATGATAATTAAACACAATATTTAAAACTTACCGAGTTTAATACAAAATTACCAAGTTACAAACCAATATGATATGATATTATATAATAAATCCAAAATATTTGAAAATATATAGCTTGCATATTTGACATTGACTATAAACGTTGATAGGAGGTGCCAACGTTGAACAATTTGTTGATGACCTAAATTATACATCATTTTCCTTTTCTCAGAAAAACAAATAATATTACAGGAAGTTACAGAAATAATTATCTTAATTATATATATCTATATTAAATACTTAAAAAAATCATAATATGACTATCCCTCATTTTTTTTTTAATAAAATCGATTTATAATATTAAAAAAAAAGTACATGACTGATTGATATTTAATAAAATTAAAGTTCTAAAATAAATAATTATTTCTTTTTGGTTACCTTTTGTTAATAAAATATTAATTTAATTTCTACTTTTTCTTTTTTCCTTTTCAGTTTGAATTCAATTTGGTTGTTTGTGTGTTTAGGTAACCTTCAATGTTCTTGTTGCCAGCAGTTGCTCAAAATTGCCTTAAATACCACCATCTTCTCCTCTCAGCAGACAAACACAATTCAATCGGTTATCGATCGATTCCATTTCTGAATTTGGGATTACTCTACATTTGGGTTTCTGTTCTACAAACTGAAAACATGGTTGAAAATGAAGGGTCTATTCGGATGCGGAAATCTAGAGAGATCGCGGCCATAGATGATCAAATTTCACATGAAAAATCCCAATTCTCGAATAAAAAGAATCAGAAGACCAAAACTGAGACGCAAAATCCGTATCCATTATTGAGATTTGAAGAAGCGCCAGAGTACATGAAGGATAACGAGTTTATTTTGGATTATTACAGAGCTGATTGGCCCCTGAAACAAGCTCTTTTCAGCTTATTTCAATGGCACAATGAAACCCTAAACGTATGGACGTAAGTATCATCTCTCTCTCTCTCTCTCTCTCTCTCTCTCTCTCTCTCTCGGTGTGTCTATCATTAATCTTCAAAATTTGGGGTTTTTCAATGATTCTCTTATGTTGTGAGCTTAAATCGTTACTACTTTATATGTTTAAATTGTGGGTTTTTTTTTAATGAATTGCATCTCTGTTGAGTTTTGAGAACATGAATAGGATCGAAATTTTGCTGGGATATGATTAATACCCCAGAGAGCTTCAATGGGTTTGATTCTGTAACAAGTGTAGTACAATGTGCACAAAAACTTGTACATTTTTACCATCATCACCCTCTGAATTTTTTCTTGAGTTGGAGCTTTAAACATTTGTTGACTTTTTATGCGTAAGCTGTCAATCACTCAATTGCCTCTCTGTCTAATCAAGCAAGTTTAAAATGTGCTTATAATAATACTCTTATGGAACATAAATGAGTTTCTTGATTTCTTCTGTAGCAATCATTGTATCATATGCTTTATGACTTACATTGTTCAAAAAGACCATAACCTTTTTTCATTAATTTCAATTAGGGTTAATAATAAAATCGTTTACAACCATGCTAGTGATTACCTTTCTGTTCTATCTATTTATGGGTTTTTATCTTTTTCATAATGCTAGTGATTTAGATAAACATTTTTATCCTTAAATACCCCTGATCCATCTTTCTGTCCATGAAACAAATCTAGAGGTTACATAACTTATAAGGGTATAAAAGGAATCCAGCTTTATAACTGTTAAATAAACTAATATGTGCAAAAATCTTTAAAGAAACTAACGTTATGAATCAAAGATGTTACAACTAGTATTAACAATTTGCTTGTTTTCTTATTCAGACACTTAATTGGATTCATTTTCTTTGTGGGATTAACAATTGCAAACTTGATGCCTGTTCCTCAAGTCTCAGATTTGCTCAATATATTAACATGGTATGTAAAGATTCTTTCTTTTCCACTCAAGATTCCTCTTTTGATTTCTATTTTATTAGACTTCACTACATGTTTCTCCTTGTTATTAAATAACAGATTAAAACTATAATTAATTCAATTTTGCAGGTCTTTTCCATTAAATCCAGGTTCAAACGCCTCAAATAATTCGATAATGGTAAGTACAATTTTAATACATTTGACTACAAAAGTCAACATTTCATATTTGAGATACTAAAATAAATGAAGTTATTACAGGATACACCAAAACTCATAGACTTGAAGCACGGATCACCGCTAGAAATGGACATATCACCACCACTACTGGCGGCAACACGGTGGCCATTCTTTGTATTCTTGGGCGGAACCCTATTCTGCCTCCTCTCCTCCTCCACCTGCCACCTCTTCGGGTGCCACTCCCACCGCCTGAGCCTCCAACTCCTCCAGCTAGACTACATCGGAATCGCAGTCATGATCATCACCTCTTTCTTCCCACCGATCTACTACATCTTTCAATGTTCTCCACACTGGCAATTTATCTACCTAGGTGGGGTCACCATCATGGGTGGATTTACGATTATAACCCTGTTATCCCCTGCACTCTCAACTGGAAAGTTTCGATCTTTTCGTGCTTTTCTTTTCATGGCGATGGGCCTTTTCGGGTTATTTCCTGCCATTCATGGTACAATGTTGAATTGGAATGAACCATATACGAAGTCAACTTTGGTGTATGAGTCAGCAATGGCGGCTTCCTATTTGATTGGAACTATGTTTTATGTTTGTCGGATCCCGGAAAGATGGAAACCGGGTTGGTTTGATTTTGGCGGGTCATAGCCACCAAATCTTTCATTGTTTTGTGATTTTGGGTGCGTTGTCTCATTATGGTGCTGCTCTTGTGTTTCTTGAATTCCGAGGTCAAGTTGGGTGTTAGTGGGTCAACTTTGGTCAATAGTCGTTTAATTGATGTTTTATGACATATTTTGTTGTCTTAAAACATTGGTTAATATGTTTTGTATTGTTTCATATGTTTTACCATAAATTTGTTCTATGTTTTGTACCATTAAAATTTAAAAGGATGACATGTAAAAGTTGTAGCCAAGTGAATAGAGAGATTTTTTCATTTTATCTGTTTATTTTGTATATGAAAAAGACATTGAAATATTGAATATATTTTTACTATTGTAGGGCTAAGCTTTGTTTTATTTTTAAGGGTGGATTTCGTTCATCTCTTTATAAACTTTAAAATACCATATGACATTACTAAAGCTATTTCTATTAGGCCCCGTTTGATAATTGTTGACTGAGAAAGTGCTGACTGGGTAAGAAATCCTGACTGAGTAAGAAATCATGTTGTTTGATTGTACATCTGACTGAATGTGTTGAGTGATGAAAAATGACAATTTTACCCTTCTGTTATATATAGTGATTGATTAAGTTGCTGAATAATTATAAAAACATACATATTGTCATACAAAATGTAAATTACACACAAACAAAAAATGTCATTCAAAATGTAAATTAAACATAAATCATTTAATATCCAAATAAAAACATAATGAAATTCAAAATAACATAATAATTTAACGTAAAGTAGGTGAAAGTAGTTGATTTGCAATCTGATCACGCAAAACACGCATATATTCAACGGCTTCTGGACCCCATTCTATGCCTTGTATGTTTTCTCTATCAATTCCCCCACCTTGGACGTCAGGAGTAACCATAGTGTCCTCCTCAAAATTTCTAAACAAGTCATCTTCTATATTGTATTTCCTTATAAAATTATGGACCGCGACACAAGCAATTACTATGTCTCTTTGCACTGTAAAAGGATAAGGAGCCATTTGTTTTAAGATTGGGAATCTCGCCTTCAAAACACCATATGCACGCTCAATAACATTTCTAAGTTGTGCATGAGCATAATTGAACCTTTCTTCTCTAGTTAAAGGTCTGCCTCTTCGAAAACCGGCTAACCAATACCTAGTATTACGGTATGGAGCCATAAACCCACGAGTGTTTGTATATGCGGTATCACAAAGGTAATATTTATCTGCAAATGAATGTGACACATATTATATAATGACACATATTATATAAAGAAGATAAATAATAAAAATTATATAAAGATTACAAACCTGGTGGAGGAAACGGAAATCCAGAAGTCGAATTGAATGCAACTTCTTTCAAAACTCTTGACTCATGTGCTATACCCTCCCGTCCAGCCCAAACAAAGGTGGATATCATATCAAAATCACAAATTCCTATTACATTTTGAAAACATTCTCCTTTTCCTCTTCCTCTATAACGAGTTTGTTGATCAACGGGTACAACCGCATGTACAAGAGTTCCATCTAATGCACCTATTGCTCCAGAAAAAATATTTTTTAACCGTCTATGTCGTTCCGAGTTATGTCTTGTTGGATTAGGAGTTGTTGGTACTATAATTTCTTTTGCAAAACACATCATTGCTGTTAGGACCTCATGAAAACATTGATGAATCGTTTGTGTGGAGTGATGAAATCTTCCCTTAACGGCGCGAAAACGTTCGTTATGTCCTATAACATGTAAGAATATAACTATCTTCTCTTCAATGCTTATTGTCCTACTAGCTTGCAACCAATTTTTTTGGGTAAAGTGGTTGCATAATAAAGCAAATGCCTCTTGTGTAAGACGCATCATATCGAAACATTGTGTAGGGTCTCCATACATCAAATCTTGCGTATACGCATACCCGCTTGAATTGTTATCTCTAATTCTATGAATTCTGATTAGCCTGCGCCGGTTTGACCTCAACCAATAAAACACAAGTAAAAGAAAAGCTACAACTTCACCATCAGAAACCATACTTGACCTGTTACAAACAATTAGGTAACATGTTAAAGTAACAAAAGTCATATAACAAACGTCATATAACAAAAAACTAGTAAATAACAAAAGTCATATTCAATATCCAAATATCATCCAAAGTAACAAAAGTCACATAACAAAAAAAAACTATTACACATCATCCAAAGTAACATCCAAAAAAGTCATCAAACATAGGATCCAAAAGTCATGCAAATAACAAAAAGTCATGCAACAAAAACATAGTAAACATCATCAAAGGTAACCATACTTCCTACCCGCACCCATCACCCACGACTCACAACTAGTATGCGAAAGTCGTAACCAAACTTTCCTAACATCGGCACTTTCACCAAATAGCGAAAGAGCGGTTTTGTGTCTTTCATCTTCTTCTCCCCATTCCATTTTGTTTAACTTCTCCATACACGCATCAACATCCTTATCCATTTCACTTTTTTCAATTCTTTCATTTTTTTCCACTAACGACCTTGCAAGTTTGACAATCTCCTCTTCAACTTCTAATGCCCTTGCATCTCTTTTTTTTCCACCAACTTTTTTGTTTCCACCAACTTCCGTATTTTTTGAATGCCCCGAAGATTCTTCACTTGCACCTACGTGTTGTGTTGAGGTTTCCATTGGAACATCATCATCAAAATCATGGGCACTAAACTCCTCTACAGGACGAGGGAGTGTAGATGATGGCCCCCAACTTTGAAAGCCGGTTGAGGTCGACCCTTCAAATAGTTGGGTGCAAAGATCAGGAAACAACAGGGGTTTAGTTTTCAATGACAACACGAACTTGTTCAACTGTTTACAATTTTTAAAAATATTAGTATTTTTTATAAAAAATAATTATAATAGTATTTGTTATAAAAAATATTACCTTCCCCTCTTCCTTCCATTGTTCATCAGTGAGGTTAAATTTATTTTTTATAGGGTCATATATATTGCCGGTTTTGTTTTTCAGTTTCACCCAAGCAACATACTTTGATTTGTAGTAGTCAAAGTGGTTTCTCATTTGCTTTTGATCAACCTCTTTACCGTGTTCGTTCATCAATTTTTCGCGTACTATCTTCCATGAACTAGCCTTAAGCCCAGAACCCTCACGACCATTAGTGGTTAATTCATGGATACATGCATCAAGAAAAGTTTTGTCCTCACTTTCGTTCCAAACCAACATCCTAAAACATAAATAACAAGCTAACATAAATATCTAAACATAAAACAATTTTCTACCAATGAGATCAACATAATCCTAAATAGTAATAGCTAAATCAAAGTCAACAATTTTCTACCAATTACATAGCTTATACATGGAAAAAAAATTCTGATTTCATAGCTTATACATATACAATTTGAGATTTCATAACATTAGAACATAACATCATACAAAAAAAAAATCTGATTTCATAACTTATACAAGCAAAAAAATCAGATTTAATAGCTTATACAAAGAAAAAAAATTCTGATTTCATAATCTATTACATACATTACACACAATTTCAGATTTCATAGATTATTCATAGACAACATACCAAGTACATACATACATTACACACAATTTCAGATTTAATAGATTATACAAAGAAAAAAAATTCTGATTACATAACATACCAAGTACAGTGGTTTTTTTATTTGAATATTTGAAGAACATATACACATATAGGGACGATTCATGATAAGGGGGGCTGTAACCTAACATTAATTCAATTAAAGCGTTATCATTCAAGTATTTAGAGGGGACCGACCCATTAATTCAATTAGCAACAGTAAGGGGCTCAACCATCGGCCAAGAAGATGGAGTTTTGACTAAATAAAGTCAAAATCGAATTCGATTTGAACAGATGAGGGCAAGAACGAACCTGTGTGGACGGACGTAAGGGGAAGAACAGATCGGCGATTGGGAAGAATAGATCGGCGATTGGAATGCCGACGTGAACAGATGCCGCTGCCGTTTTTCTTTTAGGTCACGAAGGAGAATAATAGATCGGGGGTAGTGAGGTCCTTTTTGCCAGTCAGATGGGTTTTGGAAGCCGACCAACTCAGCCAATTGAGCCATACATGCTGACCGAATCAGCCCACATCAAACATATTCATGTCTGATCGAGTCAGCTGATATCGCTGACTCAGACCGGTCAGACGGTTTCAAACAGCCCCTTAGTGAGTGGCTCATCAAAAATCACCCAAAAAGAAAATAAAAATGAAAAGAAAAGTGACGAGTGGATCACACGAATGGCCTAGTTGTTGATGATTTGAGTATAATGTAATTTATAGATTATAAGTGGAGTTCAAATTTTGTTTTTATAACAAGTTAGAAGGTGCGAAGCATACGCTCCTATAAAACTAGTTTGATTTTGATTTGACCAAATTGTGGGGGTCAAGTGGCTGCTCCCTTAGAGGTGTCCAAGGGTAGTGTGCTTGGCCCGAAAAATTTATTTTGTTAAGGAACATATTATTTTTCAAATATATTCTCCATAATTATCCTTGAAACGTCATCATTTATTTAAAGGATAAAATCAACATTGAATGATGATTGATGCTTATATTTGGTAATAAAAAGAATCTGAGTTCTATAAAACCCAAGTTACTGGTCTCGTATCAATGCCTTGATTCAATATTGTTCTTTGAATAATTATCTTCATAATCCGAATTTTGTGTAACCTAGACATAGGGTCGAAATATCATATTCAGATGATGATCACATGATCTATTAAACAAATCCAAGCTATTCATCAATTTCAAAACCCTTCTTCTCCTCCCAACCCTAACAGAGGTGTGCATCAAGAATAATTTTTTTTTAAAGAAAAAGCAAAAAAGAAATCGGACCGTTTTTTTTTTTTTTTGAGAATTGGTTAGGTTAAAACCGAACCGCGGATTAGAAATAAGATTTTATAAGAAACTGAAACAGTACATAAAACATAGGCCAGGCCCATATTCGTCCTTGAGCCCATACTTAGACCCATTCAGAGCAAAAGAACCTCGTTTCATCAGTAATAATAAAGTGCTTGGTAGTAAAAACCTACCTTGTTTTTTTTTTCTACGTGAAAGTATGCAACAAAAAAAAAGCAATGTAAAGAAAACCTTTGTATATCATATAATTCAAAAGTTTAAATTAAATATACACAATAATGTTTTCCACTTCCGCTTACAAGTTTAGAGTTTCAAATTGGTTGGAATGCTCGTTTTTTTTCTTTGGTTGTTGCTTCTACATTTTCCTTCTGTTTTGTTTTGGTTAAACATTCTTGTACTCTTGGTGGGTGGTTTTTTTGTTTTTCATGTTTTCCTATCTCACTTCTTTTG